CCACCCCCACACCTCCCCCCAAAACTTTTCCTTTTAACCTTGCTGTCATCGCTTCCCAGCTTGACTTTTTTTGTTTTTTAAGCCTCCTTTCACCTCTCGTTGACTGTCCTCCATTCAGAACGAATCGCAGAATTTGTAACAGCGCATAGAAAAACTAAGAACTGGGAAAACAAAGTGCGCTAACATGAGAAGCACGCATGGCAGCCTTTTTTTTTTTTTTTTTTTTTGGCCAGCCAGACCTGCTGTACAGAAATACCAGCACTTGAAAAGTTCAGTCAAATGCCGGCATTGATTGCTGATGTTCTGACACCATAGGAAAAATATGTCTACCTAACATACACACAAATTGTGGATGCAGCAAGAGGCAGCATATAGATATATATTTTATGCTTTGGAAGTAATTCATTACAATCATCCTATCTTGATTAAATTGGAGTGGTCTTATGGGGAAACTAATTAAAAAACATTCGGTTGACATCAGTGCACTTGTGTGTGCCCCTGCTTGCATATTTTAGGTGGGAGTGAGGCATCCTCTCATCAACGTAAGTATTTGCTTTACTTGGCAAAGTGTGAATAGCCATGACTAAAGCTAAAATGAAACCGTAAGGTCCCCCTAGGGTTACTTACACCACAACAGCTCGAAGCACCAGCCCCGGATCAGAAGGGCCCCATTATGGGAAGTAATGTATGGAGCAAAATCCCAGTCCCTTCTCAGTGAACTTTTCAATAAGACGAGACAAGTGGCAGCTCAGGGGAGGCTTGCAGGAAGGTACTACAGGCATAAGGTGTTGCTATTAAAGATGTTTTCAAGCCCTGAGAGCAAATCACAATCTGGAACACACATACTGATAAATAGCCTTTAGGAGCAAGCTTATTCTGTGCCACCTATCAGTTAGCACATGAAAAACCTTTTTAAGAAATCTTGCTGTGATAAACTTTATTTAGAAGTAGATGCTGAAAGAAATTGCCCCACAGGTGTTTTATCCACACACGAACGCTACACTACAAGACGTAGAACTTTCGGGAACAGAGTAGGAGGAACATGTACGGAAAGCCTGACATCTTCTTTCTTTGCTTTTTTGGCTTTGTACAAATGAGTGCTGCATAACAGAAGGAAAGCCAAGAATATCTGAAAAGGAGCTCCAGAAGAATGTAACCATGTATTTTTCTTGTTTCATTGCAATCCTCTGTTTCCAATTATAAGCCAGCTGCTGAAGTGACTTCATTCGATAACTATTTTGATTTGATCCTGTCTACCACGTTAGTCTAGGACTCACAGTTCCCAAACTCCCAATCTATGTAATTCAAAACCAATATGATTATAAAGTATTAAATAAGTCCATTTCTTTCTCCTTCACAGAAAAAGAACTCTTCCAAAAAAAAAACTTAAAAATACAATTTCACTTTTTTTCCAAGAAAAACTTGGCTTTGAAGAAAAAAGATTTTTATATGTCACAACCTTCCTTCCTAAACATGTTTGTATACCTTTGTCTGTTATCGGCACATCAGTACAGTAAAAAGCAAACATTTTGTATTTCAGGTATACGAGAAATCTTGTGGACAATGGAAATGGAAAGTTCAACTTGATGATCTTGTGCTGGGGTGAAGGGCATGGCAGGTTCGTATCCAAATTCTGTAGTTTTAGCAAACAGATATAAAACCACTGTATCTTTCACTGTCATACAAAAAGCCACAAATAATCAGCCCTACGTGAGCTATCAGAAAGTGTCTGGAAACTAGGCAGTGCAGAGCTCCTCCAGATATTTGCTAGATCTTTTGCAAGTTTGTACCTCATGGACATTTTTAGAGCAGTCTTTCAAAAATGCTCTGGTTTTCTACCAATCTGAGCTTCCCTTCTGTCAGAGGAAGTTTTTAGTCCCGGAGGTGCAGTGAATCTTGTGGGCAGAATAGGTTGAACAGACCCTGTTCTACCTGTCCCATACAACAGACCCGTACAACATTTGGTTGGAGAAGCAGGACTTGGTGCAGTTTAAGTAGTCTTTGTTCTCTCGTGCTGTTTAAATCCTGCCTCTGTGACAAGATGAGAAAAGCAGGTGTGGGTTAGGACTGCCCACACCCTTTCCAGCAGTCCTTGGGAGCCCCTTCCCAGGAGTCCTTGGCTTTATTTAGGTTCACACATCCCATCTCCTCCCTCAAAATGGACCACACTGCTGAGGTGGCCTCCAGAGTTGTGTACACAGACTGTATACAGGATTGCTTAGTCCTACAACCGTTAGGGCAGGATCTGACCCTTGGAGGGTCTTTCGCAAAATGTTGGCTAAAACAAAATAAGGATTAACAAAATATGGAATAATTAATTTTGCAGGTTTTGACTGATTATTCTTGCATATAAATAGAAAACCTAACGAGCGGTCAGAGCTGGGTTTTTTGGGTTTTTTAATTGAGCATGCATTTGAACATTTACAGTATTTTCTGTAGGGGATGCCATGACGCTATACTCGGAGGGATATAGGAATAAAGCCCACCACCTCTACTCCTCCCAGGCTATTCCCACAAAGCCTGTAATTTATGTCAAACTGTGTTTGAGTTGGATGAGCATTTGCTAGAGCGAGACTGAGACCACAAGTTGGTTTTGCTTCCTATGAGGAGGATCAGATTGTTCTCATGGCTTGTGGAAGGAGCATGACAACGTGGCATTTGTGAACTGTTCCATGCCTGAAGCAAGCTGTGCTCTCTTGGCATCTCAGTTAGTAAGAAGCCTCGACATTTGTTTACCAAAAACAGTAACATAGAAGTACCAAGTTTTTGATTGAAACTCATTAGCACTGTACTTCCGGAAGGGTCAAATTCCTCCTTCTCCCTCACCCCTGATGAGTGGAGAACTGTCCCTTTGTCCTAATCCCACTGACTTCTGTAACAGTTAGTCCTCTATTTTAAAAAAAATAAAGCCCAAACTAAACACCAGATCCTGCTGTTACGTTCATGTTTTGCCAAACTAGCGCAATTAGCAGCTTGCTGTAGCTGGTGGTACTTAGTACTATCAGAGAAAGAGGTACAGCTTTTTTTTCTTCAACAAATGCCTGTGCAGCCCAGCAGTAAAGAGACCATAGATATTAAATAGAGGTAGCTCATTTCTCCCATGTTTCGGAAGCGAGCGTGGTGAATCTGCAAACATCAGGTATACTTGCAAGTTTATACTAGCTTCTGCCTGGGGTCACTGTGGAAAGCGTCTTTTCGTTTCTTGGCCCACAAGAGTTTTTGTATTCTGAAGAATTTTTCTGTCCTCCTCCCGACTTCCTTTGTATTCCTCTGTGGCAAAGCCATAGGTTGATCAATATCTGACTGATCTCTGAGTCCTGCTGTATGTGAGCTTCTCCTGATACTGTTCTGAATGAGCAGTTTTAAATAGGCATCGTGGATCTCTTTTTCCTAAGACTTTTGTGCAGTGGCATTTCATTCTAGGGCTATGTCCAGATACAGTGTGCTATACCATCTGTCCTATTTGCTGTACTGAAATCAAATATGTGTATCACACTGAGTTTGGTTGTTCTTTTTACATTTATAGCAGTATCCATGATCACACTGACTCACACTGCTTTATGAAGATCCTCCAGGGAAATCTAAAGGAGACTCTGTTTGAATGGCCTGAGAAAAAAGGGAATGGTGAAATGACAAAGAAATCAGAACGAGTTTTGAGGGAAAATCAATGTGCCTACATTAATGGTAAGCCATTAAGCTTCTTTTGACAACTACCCATCCATGAGTATTATTGCTAAGAGAAGAGATCATCTGCTCTCTAGTCTTCTACCTCTACCTGTATAATACTACTGGCTTTATGCACAGATTAAGAACATGGCTCTCTACATTCTGCACAAACCTATATTTAGAGTCAGTTAAACAAACAACAAAAAAAATGTTTAATACTTAAATATGCCGGGCATCTCCTCTAGACCAAGCAGCCTTCAGCACCGTGTCCCTAATGACTATCTGAAATTGCTTGTCAACATAGACCTTAAATAGTATTTTCTGAGAAATAAGGGAACCGAAGTTTAGATAGCTCAATCACCTTGATTTTTTTCAAAGAAATAATTCTTTTGATCAGTCGTGGAAATCTTGGGTTAAAAATGTAAAAGCTTCCTATGGAATAAATTGACCAGCCAGGAGCAGAGGCTCTGATCCTCAGTGCTATGCCCTGTCCAAATCAACAAAAGACTGTAGTACTGAAGTGCAGTGTCTGCAAAATTGAAATGCTCAAGTCTACCCAAACTACAGAAAATATTCTCTGACTGCACAGATGCTGAGAGACAACTAAGTCTCCACCAGGAAGGCTCCTTAGGTACCTAAATCCATGCCATTACACATATTTGTAACTCACCATCTTGCGCTATGCTGGAAGCGTATGTGTAATGTATTCTGATGCTATGAAGGACATTGCACGTTATGCTGAACCACAATGAGTTCAGCAGATCAAAGGCAAAGTATCAGAGAAGGGGGCTGTCTGCCTTTTATGTGATAAGTTAAAAACTGGAGCACATACCTTGTGGGGCTGAGCTTGGAAACTCCCCAGCTGCAGGGAGCCTCATGTTGGGTTATGGACTAAGCCAGGGTGAGAGCGTTGGGGA